AAGAAACTAGAAGAACTTAGCATGAGAATGGAAGAGAGGTTAGACATGGAAAGCAGGAAGTGGGAGGTGCAAGTCAAAGCAGCAGAGGCCAGGATACAGAGTTTAGAAGAGGAACTGAAAATCTGAAACAGCCTAAAGAACTAAAGAACATTTTTTGGGGTTGACAACAGAGACTGCTACCTCAACCACAAATAAGGGGACTGTAGGGAAAGAAGGAGCAAAACTGCATGTAGAAGCTCAATCAGTGGAGACTGTAGTAAATGAAAGAGCTAAGCTATATGTGGAGGCCCTAACAGACCACAGCAGAGCCCAGGGGAAAACCGAGAAGGGAAAATGACAGCCACTGAGCCCAAGTACATTAGCTAGTGAAACTGAAGAAAGGAAAGATCAAAGGAGGAAATCAAATTGAATGAGGGGATGCACAGGGATATGCAAATGGGGGAATGAAAGGGTGAGGTCAGTCTTTGTGTATGGGCTCCAGGAAGTTGAAGGGGAAACATATGAAGCAAGAAAACAAGGGAAAAAAAAGCAATTGAAAGCATCATGAAAGCAATAGGAGAAGACGACATGACCCAGCTGGAAAATTTTTGGAGAATAGGGGGTTTGTAAAAAAAAAGAACCCAGCCAGTGAAAGTGACCTTCAAGGCAGAATCGACTCGGAACAGGATCCTGCAGGAGAAAGCATGATTAAGGGACATGCCGGCATACAGGAAGGTGTATCTCGACCGCGACAGAACACAAGCAGAAAGGCAGAAACAGAGAGAGATGGTACAAAGGCGAAAGGAGGAAAGAGAGGGGATGGAAAAAGACAGACAGGAGATCCCAGACACAGGAAGATCAAATACAGCCTCCCTCACAACTTCCTATAGAAGCCTCCCAACCAGGTCAACCCCAGTGCAACCAAACACTCTAAACCAAAACACCCATGCCACATCCAATGCCCCCACCCACTGCATTACAAACTCCACCCCCACAGCAACCACCCATAGTTCCTTTCAGGTCTCCCACTTCCCCAACCCCAATACACCTCCCAGACCACAATCTTAGAAAAGAAGTTGAAGGTGTGGTATACAAATGCAGAGGAATAACAAATAAGTATGAGGAGTGGCACAAAAGAATCAAGGAGACATCCCCAGACATAATAGCACTCACAGAAACAAAACTCACCAGAATAATAAAGATTCAATCTTTCCACCCCGGGTATCAAATCCTCATGAAAGACAGAGGGAAGGAGAGGGGGGGGGAGGAGTTGCACTGCTCATTAAAAACCAGTGGGGTTTGAGAAAATGGAAGGAATTGATGGCACGGGCGAAAGGGACTACTTAGTAGGAACAATCCGTCTGAGGACATAAGGTGATAATTGCAGTAATGTACAACCCACCACAGAACTGCAGGAGGCCAAGAGAAGAATTACGATGAGAGCAACAGAGCAATGGTCGACACACTAGCCGAGGTGGCCAGGGGAGCACACACGGGGGGGGCAAAGTTACTAGTTATGGGGGATTTCAATTTACAAGGAGATTGACTGGAAACCTGGAGCCCCATGGGGGTCCCGAAACATGGAGAGCCAAGATGATGGATGTGGTACTGGAAAACCTCATGCATCAACATGATAGAGACACTACCAGAGAGAGAGGAGAGGATGAACCAGCAAGACTGGACCTTGTATTCACCTTGAGTAGTTCTGACATCGAGGATATCATGTATGAAAGGCCCCTGGGAGCTAGTGATCATGTGGTTCTGTGCTTCGACTACATAGTTGAGAGAGCAGCAGGAATAGGGTGGGAAAAACCAAACTACAAAAGGGGGAACTACTCAGGCTTGAGGAACTTCTTTCAAGACATTCAGTGGGAGAGGGAACTGACAGGAAAACCAGTACAAGAAATGATGGATTATGTGGCCCAAAAAAATGCAAGGAGGCAGAGGAGAGGTTTTGTTCCTAAAGGAAACAGAAATAATGGGAGAACAGAATGAGTCCTTGGTTCACCCAAAGGTGGGAGGAGCAAAAACTAGGTGTACTAGAGAATGGAAAAGGTACAGAAGACAAGAACCAGGAAAATAAAGAGATTAGCCGAAGAGTCAGAAACGAATATGCACAGATAAGAAGGGGGGCTCAGCGGCAATACGAAAATGACATAGCATCGAAAGTAAAGACTGACCCAAAGCTGTTTTACAGCCACATCAGGAGGAAAAAAACAGTCAAGGACCAGTAATCAGACTGAGGAAGGTGATGGGGGGAAATTTACAAAAAAACGACCAGGAGGTATGTCAGGGGCTCAACACAAATTTAAAGAAGTATTTACATGGAACCATTAGGACTCCAGGAAATCAGAGCAGGGGGGTGCACCACAAGTGGGATGAAGGTACATATAACCAAGGAGGAGGTGAAGAAGCTGCTATGCGAACTTGACACCTTTAAAGGCGGTGGGACCAGACAACATCTCCCCCGTGGGTCCTTAAAGAGGGAGCAGAGATATTGTGTGTACCGTTAACAAAGATCTTCAACACATCATTTGAAACTGGGCAACTCCCTGAGGTATGGAAGATGGCAAATGTAAATCCCAATTTTTAAAAAAGGGGGACAGACATGAGGCACTAAACTACAGACCTGTATCACTAATGTGTATAGTATGCAAGGTCATGGAGAAGATCATCAGGAGGAGAGTGGTGGAGCACCTGGAAAGAAACAAGTGTATAATTTGACAACCAGCATGGTTTCAGGGAGGGAAAATCCTGTGTCACAAACCTACTAGAGTTTTATGACAAGGTGACAGAAGTAAGACAAGAGAGAGAGGGGTGGATCGACTGCATTTTTTTGGACTGCAAGAAGGCCTTCGACACGGGTTTCCTCACAGAGGTTACTGCAAAAGCTAGAGGATCAGGCACACAAAAACAGGAAAGGCACTGCAATGGATCAGAGAATACCTGACAGGGAGGCAACAACGAGTCATGGTACGTGACGAGGTGTCAGAGTGGGTGCCTGTGACAAGCGGGGTTCCACGGGAGTCAGTCCTAGGACCTGTGGTGTTTTTGTATATGTGAATGACATAATGGAAGGGATAGACTCAGAAGTGTCCTTGTTTGCGGACGATGTGAAGTTAATGAGAAGAATCAAATCGGATGAGGATCAGGCAGGACTACAAAGAGACCTGGACAGGCTACAAGCCTGGTCCAGCAACTGGCTCCTTGAGTTTAACCCTGCCAAATGCAAAGTCATGAAGATTGGGGAAGGGCAAAGAAGACCGCAGACACAATATAGTTTAGACGGCCAAAGTCTGCAAACCTCACTCAAGGAAAAAGATCTGGGGGTGATTATAACACCGAGCATATCTCCCGAGGTGCACATCAATCAGATAACTGCTGCAGCATACGGGTGCCTGGCAAACCTACGGATAGCGTTCCGATACCTCAGTAAGGATTCGTTCAAGACTCTGTATACCATTTACGTCAGGCCCATACTGGAGTATGCAGCACCAGTTTGGAATCCACACCTAGTCAAGCATGTCAAGAAATTAGAAAAAGTGCAAAGGTTTGCAACAAGACTAGTCCCAGAGCTACGGGGATTGTCCTACGAAGAAAGGTTGAGGGAAATCGGCCTGACGACACTGGAGGCAAGGAGGGTCAGGGGAGACATGATAACGACATATAAAATTACTGCGCGAAATAACGAGGTGGACAAAGACGGGATGTTCCAGAGATGGGACACAGACACAAGAGGTCACAATTGGAAGTTGAAGACTCAGATGAATCAAAGGGATGTTAGGAAGTATTTCTTCAGTCATAGAGTAGTCAAGCCATGGAATAGCCTAGAAAGTGAAGTAGTGGAGGCAGGAACCATACATAGTTTTAAGGCGAGGTATGATAAAGCTCATGGAGCAGGGAGAGAGAGGACCTAGTAGCAATCAGTGAAGAGGCGGGGCCAGGAGCTATGACTCGACCCCTGCAACCAAAAATAGGTGAGTACACACACACACACACACACACACACACACCACCACACACACACACACCCCTGCAACCACAATTAGGTGAGTACACACACACACACACAATACATAGTTTTAAGGCGAGGTATGATAAAGCTCATGGAGCAGGGAGAGAGAGGACCTAGTAGCAATCAGTGATGAGGCAGGGCCAGGAGCTATGAATCGACCCCTGCAACCACAAATAGTGAGTACACACACACACACACACACACCACACACCCTGCAACCACAATTAGGTGAGTACAATTAGGTGAGTACACACACACACACACACAATACATAGTTTTAAGGCGAGGTATGATAAAGCTCATGGAGCAGGGGAGAGAGGACCTAGTAGCAATCAGTGATGAGCAGGCTGAGCTATGACTCGACCCCTGCAACCACAATGGTGGTACACACACACACCACACTCTCTCTCCTCTCACTCTCATCTCTCTGTCACTCTCACTCTCATCTCTACTCTCTCTCTACTCTCACTCTCTCGTCTCTACTCTCTCTCTCTCTCTCTCTCTCTCTCTCTCTCTCTCTCTCTCTCTCTCTCTCTCTCTCTCTCTCTCTCTCTCTCTCTCCTCTCTCTCTCAACTACACCACACACTACACACACCACACACACACACACACACACACACACACAAAACCAAGGTGATTTCTGTTTCATGCTCATTGTTCAGGATGATGTGCATGCCCATCTCTTCATATAGCTCTTCATTTGCAATATCAGAATGAAAATTATTACCAAATTCAGGTTGATATCTACATTTTCAAGAGCACTTCTCATTATGGTCCAAGTCGGACCAAAGTGTTTAAGTTTAATTCTCCTATGTGTGAGTTATATGTGCAAGTGTGGATGATAAATGTATCTTAATAAAAGAAATGGGATGAGATATGTTACCTCTTACATGTTATTTATAATACTATTCTTGCATTGTTTCTACTTGATACTGATACTTATAATTTCTCTCTACCAGGTTTAATTGAATTGAAGACATCTGGTGTATTTAAACTAGACTCATCATGGTGTGCATGGGAGTGGAGAAGGATGAGCATATCCACCGGTGTTTATGGGACAATGTGGGTCCAGTTCCGGAGGAGCCTTTTACTGAGTATATTATGGACAAAATTAAATACTTTGCAGAGAAAGATGCACTGTAAGTAACTTTGCTGACATTCATTCTTTTATTTTTAAGTCTTCAATAAGTTTTAGGAACCACACTGATTGCTAGTGGTGAGCAAATATTGCACATAATGACTCGTCTCATAATAGCAGATTGGCTTAATGAAAACATGCATAAAATGAGGGAATCTGTACTACTAACTTTGGAATTTAAGTAAAGATAAAGAGAAAAATTCAGTAATAATTCAAGAAATCTAAAGTGCACTGGACTGCCTTGCTATATGTTCAGTGTGAATTGTTTTCTACTGTAAGTAGCCTATGCAGGGCTGGATTGAGGCATGGGCTTTAGGGGCTGTATCCCAGGGGCCTCCTCCAGCTGGAGGGCCTCCAGGGATTAATTGAAAAGTGTTCAGTTACTGCTTTAAGTTCATAATTTTTTTTCTTCAACAAGCCATCCAATCCCACTGAGGCAGGGTGACCCAAAAAGAGAAACGAACAAAAATACAAAAGTTTTTCTTTTTAAATTTAGTAATTTATGCAAAAGAAAGGGTTACTAGCCCCTTGCTCCTGGCATTTTAGGCGCCTCTTACGACACGCATAGCTTATCGGAGGAAAAATTCTTCTCCACTTCCCCATGGAAATAAGAAATAAGGAAGAATAATAACTATTAAGAAAATAGAAGAAAACTCATATGGGTGTGTACATGTAAGCCTGCACATCCATGTGTAGTATGACCTAAGTGTAAGTAGAAGTAGCAAGATTTACCTGTCATCCTGTGTGAGGTTTATAATTATAGTATGTTATTACATCACATATGGTGAACTATTGACTGTTCATTGAATGTTTCTTTAACTTTTTTTTCTTTTGAAAATATCACTGGGGGCTTTGCCCCCTCACAATACCTATAGCCCAGGGGCCAACAGAATCTTAATCTAGCTCTGAGCCCATGGCATATCCACTGTACAATATTCATGCACCTCTGCTTTAAAATTATAGCAGCTCAGCTAGGAAGAGATCACATTCCTTCATCTAGTATTTAAATCTGAAACACACATAATGCTAGCTGTATGTAAGTTGCTAAAAGCATTAGTAATATTTATTTAAAAAAGAATAATTAGGATAATATGGAAATAGTTTGTAAACTTGTCAGTTATTGGTTTTGAGGTTATGACCTTATTTATTACAATGCCACTAGATATTGTGACTTCCAGTAACTCCAAAATAGTGTTGTATTATTAAGATAAAAAATTATTCAGGTAATCTACATATGATTTTAGAATGAAATTATACAATGTTTCTAATAAACATTAATTGTCATAATCATAATGTACAGTACATTTGGGGTAAATAATACAGATTTAATTAACCTAGGATTTCTCAATAGTCACAATGATTTAGTCTCACTGGGGTATCTTATCAGTAGTATTGGTTTGTAGGAAGAAAATGCTAAAAAATCTGTTTTGTTTTATTAATTAATCTTAAATTTCAGATAGATGGAGTATCAGGTGAAAAATTTAAATATGGCGACTTGGTTTCTTGGGTTCGTAATATTGGCTATGGATGGCAAGAAAATGGACTTGAAGCAGGTCATGTGGTGTGTCTGGTGACACCAAATACTATTCATGTCCCAGGAGCCTTCCTTGCTGCTGTTGCAGCCTCGGCTGTTGTCACCCTCGCTAATCCTCTTTTTACTCCAGGTTAAAAAATAAATTTATAATTTTCTTAATCCCCAGCTGTTTCTAGTGTAACATATAAATTTTAATTAGACAGAATTAAGTTTTGAGGGAAAACCAGTTTCTGCAATTTAAAGGCTGAGTGGAGATGTTGCAGTTCAAAGGGTCTTATAAATTGTGATGTTTATATTCTTCTGGCAAGACAGCTCAATTATTGAAGGAATAATAATGAACATCTTTCCTTCTTTGGATCGTGCTAACTTTGTGGAAGTGGCCATTTTACAAAAAAAAAAAAAAATACATTTGCTTCTGATCATGATACAAACACTGAATCATGTGATAGTCAGAGGCTAGTGTATGGAATCAGCAACAAAAAATTGGACTTTCTTCTTGGTCTCCACAGGTTGAAATAGATCATTGAATGAAAGCCTAACCTATTCCCTTTAATGCTTACTATACTTTGAGTAGTAAATGAAGTGATTCATATACTAAATTTAAATAGTGTATTCTTTTATTTCATTCACTTAATTTCGTGTAATTATTGTTCAGCATTTCAGTCATGAATATTATACTGTATTTCTTAATGTGAGCAAAATAACATTTATGAAGGGATTCAGGGAAATCAGTTAGCCGGACTTGAATCCTGGAGGTGGGAAGTACAGTACCTGCGCTCCGGAGGTGTGTTGATAAACTGGAGGGTTCAGTAAATGGGAGATGGTAGCAAGGAAAACATCAATGGTCTGTATGGAGGTGATATATAACATAATCATGGTGAGAGAACACAGACTGAGAGGCTTCCTTGTAGGCAGCGAGAGGGAGGCCTCTCAGAGCTGGCCTACACGGAGGGAGTCCCATGACATCAGTATGGCCAGGGAGCTTAGCTATAAAACTTACTAGGGGATATATATACATGAACATAAGAAAGAAGGAACACTGCAACAGGCCTACTGACCCATGCAGAGCAGGTCCTTGTCTCCCCCCCCCCCGGATTAGCCCAATTACACCCCCTTCCCGGATTAGCCCAATTACACCCCCCCCTCCCAGATTAGCCCAATGACCCACTCAGTCTGTTCACCTCCACTCAAGGAAGGAACACAGCACCAGACCCAGCAGCACAAGCTAGTCAGGTCCAACTCACACCCATCCACACCCACTCATGTATTTATCTAACCTATTTTTAAAACTACACAACATTTTAGCCTGAATGACTGTACTCGGGAGTTTGTTCCACTCATCCACAACTCTATTACCAAACCAGTGCTTTCCTATATCCTTCCTGAATCTGAATTTTTCCAACTTGAAACCATTGCTGCGAGTCCTGTCTTGGGTGGAAATTTTCAGCACGCTATTTACATCCCCTTTATTTATTCCTGTTTTCCATTTATACACCTCGATCATATCCCCCCTAATTCTATGCCTTTCGAGAGAGTGCAGATTCAGGGCCCTCAGTCTATCCTCATAGGGAAGATTTCTGATACATGGGATCATCTTTGTCATCCTCCTCTGTACGTTTTCCAGAGCATTTATATCCATTCTGTAATACGGTGACTAGATCTGAGCAGCATAGTCTAAATGAGGCTTAACCAAGGATATATAGAGTTGAAGAACAACCTGAGGACTTCTATTATTTATACTTCTAGATATGAAGCCAAGAATTCTGTTAGCTTTATTGCGAACACTAATGCACTGTTGTCTTGGTTTTAGATTACTGCTAACCCAAACTCCTAAATCCTTTTTGCAATCAGTAGTATTAAGATCTACATTATTTAGTTTATATGTGGCATGGTTATTTAACTGTCCAACATTTAGAACTTTGCATTTGTCAATATTAAACTGCATCTGCCACTTCTCCGACCATTGCATCAGTCTATTCAAATCATCCTGGAGTGCTCTAGTGTCCTCATTAGAATGAATTGGATGGCCTATTTTGGTGTCATCAGCAAATTTGCTTATGTCGCTATTTATTCCTTCATCTATGTCGTTTATGTAAATTGTGAACAACAACGGGCCCAACACTGACCCCTGAGGAACACCGCTTGTGACACGCCCCCATTCTGATTTCTCCCCATTTATGCAAACTCGCTGCTGCCTATTTGTCAGCCATGCCTCTACCCAGGAAAAAATTTCTCCTATTCCGTGTGCCTTAAGTTTCCTCAATAGCCTCTGGTGTGGAACTCTATCGAAAGCCTTACACTGTTAACAGATATGTTGCCGTTTTTTAACTGTATGTAGTGTAGACACACTTCTGTCAAGACAGTGAAGGAGTGAATCATGATGAAAGAGTTTCTTCTTTTTTCAGGTCACCCTGCCTCAGTATATTAAAAAAAAAATTCTTAATATCTGTTAACTGTTATATTAATCATTGCCTTCACAACCCTGTCTCAGGTCAGGTCACCTCCAGGACTCAAGTCCAGCTAACTGGTTTCCCCTGAATCCCTTCACAAAATGTTACCTTGCTCTCACTTTACACACACACGTCATTTAGCCCCAAAAATCATATACCTCCACTCTCTTCTATCTAACATGCTCACATGTGTCTGTTGGATGTCCAAGCCACTCGCACACAAAACCTCCTTTACCCCCTCCCTCCAGCCTTTCCTAGGGTGACTCTTCCTTCCCTCCAAGTCATACTATTTTGCTCCATCTTCTCTGAATGTCCAGACCACCTCACTATCCCCTCCTCAGCCCTCTGGATAATACATAATGTATTTTTCATAGATTTATTTTAGTGGTTAATCATTTCATTGAATTAGTTTGGGAATCTAAACCTTGGCTGATTGTATTACTGGTAAAACTCGAGCAGTTGTATTAAGAGTAAAACTCAGGAAGGTTGTATATTTGTATTACTGAATTAAAATTCAGGCAGGTTGTATTATCAGAGTAAAATTAAGAAAGGCTATATTACCAGAGTATGATTCAGGCATGTTGTATTATCTTAGAGTAAAGCTAAGGCAAGTTGTATTACCAGAGTAAAGCAGAGATTGTTTGTTTTCACCACAGATGAACTTCGTCAACATATCACCAACAGTCAGTCTAAGTGGGTCATTGTTCATCCACTCTTTCTTTCTACTGCTCAAGCTGCTACAAAAGATTTGGATGACATAAAGGTTAGTTATGTTTACTCCTATACATTCATTTACATAGGGTAAGCTTTTCAGTTGGTACATTCAAGGTCTAGCTAGTTAGCTTAAAGTGTATCAATTGTAAGTGGGTCATTAAGATTGCTCATTATCTGAACACTGTCTTCCCTCTTTTAGTGAATAAGGTAAACTGTATGTTTTTTTTTTTTTTTTGTTTTTTTTTTTTCAACAAGTCGGCCGTCTCCCACCGAGGCAGGGTGACCCAAAAAGAAAGAAAATCCCCAAAAAGAAAATACTTTCATCATCATTCAACACTTTCATCTCACTCACACATAATCACTGTTTTTGCAGAGGTGCTCAGAACACAACAGTTTAGAAGCATATACGTATAAAGATACACAACATATCCCTCCAAACTGCTAATATCTGTATATATGGTCTGTTATTTAAATGCATGTATAGGTACAAATGCATGTGTAGGTACAAAACCTATATCTAGTTTCTGGGCATTTCAGCCAAAGTCAGCAATGGCAGTATGTACTGTGATATTAGAAGCATATGGGTTACCCTTGCTATATTTACTCCAGCACTAAATAGTGGCCTGCTATATTATTTTTTTTCTTGGTGCTTGTGAAGGACTCTTAATCCAAGGAATTAGCATTATTCCTCATGGCTCAGACCCTAAGCACTGCATGACCCCTGTGGGTTAAGTGCCTCCCCATGAATATCATATATAACAATATATCATCTTCTCTCCTTACAGCTCTTCTTCAAAATTTTCTCCTTTTTTTTTTTGTGCCTTTTTTTTTTTTTTTTTTTAGTTGTACAGTATGTACTTTTTGAGGTAATTTTAAATATTTACACACCCCTGTTACCAAGTATAAACAGGTTGCAAATAATCTGTGTATGTGATAGCTAGACCATTATGTGTAAAGTTGTTTTTTTTTTTTTTTTTTTTTTTTTTTTTGTTGTAAATGTTGATGCCTCATCAAAAGGTTCTGCATACTGAACTGCAGCTGAAATATTTGAGGAAGTTTCTAGCTGAGGGAAATTATTTCCAGTAAAAGTAGACCTTAGGCAGGAGTGCTGGATTTCACCATGGTTGTTTAATATATAGATGGGGTTGTAAAAGAAATGAATGATGGTGTGTAGGGAAGAGTTGTGGGAATAAAAGATAAAGAATCTAATTCAAAGTGGGAGTTGCAACAGTTGCTTTTTGCTGACATGGCACTTATGGGAAATTCTGAAGAAAATTTGCAAAGGTTGGTAGATGACTTTGGGAGGGTATGTAAAAGAAGGAAATTAAAAGTGATTATAGGAAAGAGCAAGATGATGAGGGCAAAAAAATTTAGGAAATGAAAGAGTGGATATCAAATTGGAAGAAGGGAGTATGGAGGAAGTGAAATGTGTACATATATTTGGGAGTGGACTTTTTAGCTGAAAGGACTATGAAATGTGAAGTGAACCATAAAACTGACAAGGAAAAAATGGCATCCATGGAGACAAAAAGAGGAATGTATAAGCATACAGTGGTACCAATACTCCTGTATGAGTGTGAAGCATGAGTTGTGAATGTTGCAGAGAGGAGGAGGAGGATGGAGACAGTGAAGATGTTATGTCTCAGGGGAGTGTGTGGTGTGAATATTATACAGACAATTCATAGTTTGGAGATTAGAAGGTGCAGGGTTACTAAAAGTATTATCAAGAGAGTTGAGGAGGGGGTTTTGAGGTGGTATATTTAGAGAGGATGGAGCAAAATGGAATGATTTGGAGGGTGCATAAATCTAGTGGAGGGAAGGAGGTGTAGGGGTCATTCTGAGACAGGATAGAAGGAAGAGGTTACAGGAGGAGTTGTATGTAAGTTGCCTGGATGTCCAACAGGCATGTGTGAGCATGTTAGATAGGAATTACTAAGAGCATTGTGGTTTTTATGATTTAATGCATTGTTAAAGTGTGAGCAAGGTAATATTTATGAAGGAAATTAGAGAAACCAGCTAGCTGGACTTGAGTCCTAGAGGTGGGAATTATGGTACCTGCACTCTGAAGGAGGAGTGGAAATACTGCAGTTTGGAGGGGTAACTGAACTGTAATGTCAGCGCACCTCTGGGAAAATGGTGATGGTGTGAGTGGTTGTGAAAGTGTTTCTTCTTTTTTGGGTCACCCTGCAACTGGTGTGTTAATTAAAAAAAAAGTAAAATGTAAAAAATATTTTCAGTATTCTATATAAAGAGCAACCTGAAGCATTTGCATGATCTTATAACATTTTGAAGCAAAGAAAACTGCTTTCTGTGAAGGATTTAATGAAGTATTTACAGGAATAGTGACCTGTAGATGTAACATCTATCATGCCAATAATAGACTTAGATCATTTTTCACCTAACAAGCAATCTCCTGACAGATGCATGATGTCGTATTAAGGACATGTGTGCAAAGTGGAATGAGTTGCTAAGTTTTATGGAGAAATATCACCCTAACAAAGCTGTTGTAAGCCATGTCTGAACATGTTCAATGACAATGCCAGAAACAGACCCCTCTAGACAGATTTTTTGTTTGACAGGGGTCCAGTGATTCTCAAGCTGGCCCTAGTGCCAGTAAAAGACAAAGAAGGGAAGTAACCCCTGATAGGGCTTTAATACCTGAAGTCCTTATGGAGGAGGATTCCCTTTCCTAATACTAACCTCTCCTCCTCCCTCTTCCCTCCTCGCTGTCTTCCATATGCCAACAAGAGTCTTCAATAAATGTAAAAGTGATGTTAAATGTTTCATTTATCCATTTCATTAGTCATTTATACACAAATAACCCGCACATAAAAGAGAGAAGCTTACGACGACGTTTCGGTCCGACTTGGACCATTTACAAAGTAAATGGTCCAAGTCGGACCGAAACGTTGTCGTAAGCTTCTCTCTTTTATGTGCGGGTTATTTGTGTAATGTTCCAGTCACGGTATTGTACCTTTTTTTGTTATTAGTCATTTATATTTATTTCTCATTGTTTTATGCATGTAAAACTATAGTTATTCTCTATAAAATGCATTTTTTGTTAGTATTTTTGGGTGTCTGGAATGGATTAAGTGGATTTACATTATTTCTTATGGGAAATATTGCTTCAGTTTTCATACAGTTTGGTTTTCGTCAGACTTTCTGGAACACATTAATCACAAAAAAACGAGGTTCCACTGTATGTAATTTACTTTAACAAATATTTAGATGCTGTGTGATATTATTGTCAACCTGACACTAAGCCTAAGAACCTTGTTTATAGGATTTTTGCTACATTTTTAATTTTCTATTATATTATAGGTAATGTACACCAAATGAAAATTTAAAGAAAATGGAAAAATGCCAAATGGGGAAGGGGGTAAAGCAGAGTTATCAATAAATTTCTGTAATGGGACCACTTTTTTAATAATCTCTAAATGAAATTTAAATATTCTACAGTATATGGGCATTACAAAATTTGCATCTTTTTACTGTAATTTTCAAAATTTCACATTTCTTTTGCATAATTTTACAATAAAATATATAAATCATTTTGTCATTATAAAAACTGATCAATTGATGTTTTGCAGAACCAGCCTGTTGTCATTTTTTACTTGAAAATGTGTATATGATCAAAGAATACATGGAGAACCTTTATGAAGAATAAGTCACAATACCATGACTGGAATACAGATAAATTTAAGATGATGTTTTTCCATCCTTGAGTAGCTAATGATAGTTTCAGACTGCAGTGAAACATTGTTTAAATTTGATTCCCAGTTTGTGGGTTACAAATGATGCATCATATGGAAATAATTTAAATTTGAAATTGACATTACAACTTTATAATCATCATTGTATGTGGTTTATTAACTTACTGATTTGTTTATCATCAGGGTATGTATCTGTTGGGAAACGAAGCTAAAGACTGTGTAAAACCCCTGTCAAGTCTTAAGAAAGAAGCTCCTGACAACTGGGAGTTCCATGGTGTGTCTGGTGATAGTGTGGTACATCTGCCCTACTCATCTGGCACTACTGGTTTGCCCAAGGGTGTTGAACTGACATCTGCGAACTGGTTGGCAGTTCTCTCAACTGTTGGGTAGGAAGAAGTGTAGATCATATATTCCTCTTTTTGTACTGTATTGATTTGCCCTGACAGTTATTTTGAATGTTATTAAAAAGCATTGCATAATGTAGTGTGTTAATTGATTATAGTGGCTCTGGAAATACCACCCTGAAAAATACTTAAGAAATTGTGTAAACAGTTTACTTTAGCCTTCATTGTCTCACAGGTGCTGTTCTCATATGAGACGTGCAATACCAATTTCTTGATTGTATACTTTTTCTTTATCTTTCCTCATCAATATGGGTGTCCACATGGCTAGAGCATTTTTTTTTTTAAGCAATAATTATTGTTTAAATAGACAAAAAAATGTAGACCCAGTTTTTCACTTGAAATTCTAATGAAGTTGGAAAAAGTGCCAAATATGAGTCAGCAGAAGTAAATTTTTAAGAAGCATTTAGGTTTTTAAGGTGTTGTAGAGAAATGTTTGTGTAGAAAAATGGCTACAGGAAACCTTATACATATATCTTTAATATCAAATAAAGGTGTAGCTTGTAGAGTCTGGCCAAAACTTATTACAGTACACGTTGGCCATCACTTATACGGCACTAATTTCGGCTAGCATTATTTCAAATTTCCAGGGTTGCTACACAAACCTGCTGCTACTGTTTGGTGGCACTACTTGCTGCATAAGTCATTCCAATTTCTTTTTCTCCATTTATTGACATAACCTGCTTACTTTTAGCCCTAGCTATGATTCCAACAAATAAAAGGAATGCTTCTCGTTATGTAAAGCACACTTAAATAAGCTGTGACCAGTAAGTTTGGGCCTACTTATGAAAGAATAGGTCTGTGTGGTAAATGTGCACTATATAAAAAAAATCCTGCAGCACGCAGTACATTAAAAAACTGTGACCATATTTTTGATGTAAAACAGCGACTTTGTGGTATATTTCCATAGGTTTTTATGGTTGTAGTCTCGTTTTTTTTTTTTTTTTTTTGGGGGGGGGGGTCTCATTTAATAGAATGGAAGATTGGTTTCACGACAGAAAGTACCTTGAAATTAAGCTCAAAGTAGTGGAAATGTTAAATTTTTGTTGACGTTCAAAAGTAAACAATAGGTGTCCAACTCTTTACGGCATTTAGTAACTTACCACCTATTCCATATAGTACTTGTAACATCCGTAACATCTGGAAGATATATTACAGAAATAGGTATGATTTTGATTGCTTTTACAACGAAAACTACCTCGAAATTGAGCTCAAAGTAGCAGAGCTGTTCAATTCTTTGGCTATGTTCAAGAGTAAACAAATGGTGTCACTGTCCATTCCAATATGCAGTCATGAATAGGTTGACATTGTTTATATTATTATTACCTTAATGCAGTAGTCTGCATAACAGTAAATCTCCTATTTTTTGTGTGTATAAAAATTACAAATTATTTATATAATAATAATAATAATACAGTGGACCCCCGATATTCAATGGCATCGACATTCGATAAATTCGACATTCGATGCATTTTAACGCAAAAATTTCGCCTCGACATTCGATGGAAAACCCGACATTCGATACAATTCATACAAGACGTGTCCACATGTGGCCTGAACTGCCCCGTGTGTGCTAGTGTTTACAAGCCAGCCAGTGTGCGTGCATCTAAGGATACATTCGGTACATTCCATATTATCACTGTTTTTGGTGCTTGTTTCTGCAAAATAAGTCACCATGGGCCCCAAGAAAGCTTCTAGTGCCAACCCTGTGGTAAAAAGGGCGAGAATTAGTATGGAAATTAAGAAAGATTTTGAAGGGTTTGGGGCTAACCCTGAGAAGCCTATGCCAATCGTGGACTCCATTGTGCCTACTTCAAAAATTAAGGAAATGTGTGCAAAGTGGGTTGAACTGCAAACCTTTATGGATGAAAATCACCCTAACACAGCTATTGCAAGCCGTGCTGGTGACTATTACAATGACAATGTTATGGCCCATTTTAGACAAATCTTAAAGGAACGGCGACAGAGGTCCAGTGACTCTCAAGCTGGTCCTAGTGGCATTAAAAGAAGGGAAGTAACCCTGGAAAAGGACTTGTTACCTCAAGTCCTAATGGAAGGGGATTCCCCTTCTAAACAGTAACAACTTCGACACTTCCCTCCTCCCATTCCATCAATCATCACCAGATCTTCATTAAAGGTAAGTGTCAATTATTCTATTGTTATTGTACGTAATTATTCTATTGCATTAAATTTAATATTTCACATGATAAAAATTTTTTTTCGTACTTATGGGTGTCTTGCATGGATTTATTTGATTTCCATTATTTCTTATGTGGAAAATTAATTCAACTTTCGATATTTTCGACATTCGATAGCTCTCAGGAACGGATTAGTATTGAATGTCGATACTATAATAATATAATGTAATAACAATAATAATAATATAATATGTATAATAATAATACATATATAATACTGTAATAATGTACTATATAATAATAATTATAATAATAGATGGCTTCAAAAGGCCATCACTAGATGGCAGTGTTTACCACAACAAAGAGGGAGAGGTTGTGGCTGCCTCCACCTGTTACATAATGACATATTTTATTCATTCTAGAGTATATATCAGGTTTCTGTTATTTATATTGTTTGTTATGTCATATGAGATGAACTGTGATAGATAAATAAGCCGTATAGATGATATTAGCGAAATTATTCAAGAAGTATTTTGTCTGTCTTCGGACAAACTCTAGTCCACCGCCAACACTGCCCATACCACTACATGAATAACATTTTGTTCATTTTAGAGTATATATCAGGTTTCTATGTTATTTATATTGTTTATTATGTCATAGTAGATGAATTGTGATAGATAAATAAGCCATAGAGTTTATATTAGGGAAATTATTGAAGTACATAATTCCATTGGAACGGATTAATTGCATTTCAGTTAATTTAACCCTTAAACTGTCCAAACATAGATCTACGTTTTTTTCAACATTTGAAAGTATGTAAAAAAATGTAGACCTTTTTTTTTTTTTTTTTTTTGCATTTGAAAATGTGTAAAAAAAACTTTGATCTACATTTTTTCTTTTTTTTATACAGTGGACCCCCACTTAACGATCACCTCCCAATGCGACCAGTTATGTAAGTGCGTTTGTACGTGTATATTTGGGGGTCTGAAATGGACTAATCTACTTCACAATATTCCTTATGGGAACAAATTCGGTCAGTACTGGCACCTGAACATACTTCTGGAATGAAAAAATATCGTTAACCGGGGGTCCACTGTATTTGAAAATATGTAAAAAAAAGTAGATCTACTTTTGGAGCACTACGCATGTGAACATAGATCTCTTTGGACAGTTTAAGGGTTAAATGAGGAAAATTGACTCTGCAAACAAGCAAATCCAGTTGCGAGCAAGGTCACGGAACAGATTAAACTCGCAAGTAGAGGTTCCACTGTATATACAGTAGGCCCCCACTTATACAGCGGTTAGGTTCCGGGCTACTGCCGGAAAACAGACATCGCCAAAAAGCAGAACACCATTTTTTCCATTTATAAATGCATATAAATGCCAGACAACAAGTTTACACTAACTTATATTAAGTTAGTAATAGAAATGGGCATTAAAACACACATTAAAAAGTAAAATACATACACAGTACATTCATTACTTACCTTAAAATATTTTTAGTTTTAATGTAGAGTGAGAAGTGAGTAGTATATTTAGGTACAGGTACACATAAGTATAATTATCAGAGTACAGTGGGCCCCCGCTTTTCGATCAGCTCCCAATGCGACCAATTATGTAAGTGTATTTATGTAAGTGCGTTTGTACGTGTATGTTTGGGGGTCTGAAATGGACTAATCTAATTCACAATATTCCTTATGGGAACAAATTCGTTCAGTATTGGCACCTGAACATACTTCTGGAATGAAATAATATCGTAAGCCGGGGGTCCACTGTATATATAAAATATGCAATAACTTTAAAACACTTGAAATTTTGGAAAGTTTCCAGACATAATAGAGAGATGTGCTCACAGAGAATGTAAACAAACTGGGTGGTATGTGCCATATTAGAAAGACCGCTCGCTGTATGGAGAGTTTTGGTCATAATTTGAAATCGCCATATTAGCGGAATGCTGTAAGGTGAAACACCGTAAAGCGGGCCCCTGCTGTATATAATATCTCTATGGGGAAGTGGAACAGAATTATTCCTCTGTAAGCCATGTGTGTCATAAGAAGCAACTAAAATGCCAGGAGCAAGGGGCTAGTAACCCAACCCCCTTCTCCTATATAAATCACTAAATTTAAAAAGAGAAACTTTTGTTTTTCTTTTTAGGTCACCCTGCCTTAGTGGGATACAGCTGGTTTGTTGAAAGAAGATTTTTATTAATTGTAAAATGTAAGTACATGAACACTTTTTTTCCTTTATCCCTTACAGGAGAAAAGAATACTTGCATATAGGCAGTGAAGATGTTATTTTGGGCATTTTGCCATTTTTCCATACATTTGGGATTGGCATGTTGTTGGCCTCACTCTCACATGGAGCTACCATGGTCACACTACCCAGATTCATACCAGATGTTTTTCTCAATACACTTCAGACCTACAAGGCTAGTAAAGCATCATTTCCATTGTTTTACTGTTAATGTTATTTTTCTTAATTTAAATGCTGTACCTGGATTATTTTATAAATGAGGAATGTGTCTTGGTAATTTTAAATTATTTTTCATAACTTTATTTGGTATTAAGTAATACTGGAAATATTGAAGTTTTAGACAGTATTTACTATTGTCATCAACAATGTTAGTTATTCTCTCTTCTTAAACACAGGTAACAGTAGTACCTCTGGTACCTCCATTGGCTGTTTTTGTGGCCAAACATGATATAGTTTCCCAGTTTGATCTGAGCAGCATTAATAATGTTGTCTGTGGCGCTGCTCCTCTTACTGCAGAAATACAAAAATTACTGTCCAGTCGGGTAAGCAGAATTATTTCAAATTGGTGTGCCCATTTTCAGTTCTAAGAGCTAAGCTATGTATGTGGTGCCCTGCCATCATCAGTGAATTTATTATACATATTACTTAAATTTCTAGCTGTAGCACACATTATAGTAGAGTATATGTACATAAGTTTTTTTTTTTTTTTTTTTTTTTTTTTTTTTTTTTTTTTTTTTTTTTTTGTAATTTAAAGTTGTTTCCTTCTTCTCTCCCAACTGCTTATTCCCAAAACCTTGAATTAATGGACCCCTTCCCCTTTTAATGGATTATAGAAACTACAGACAAAAAGACAAACACTGGAATCATTGTCCAAAATATAAAAGTATATTTTTTAGTTTACAATCACTTCAAGATTTATCTCAGTCTTAAGTGTTCTTAAAAGTTTATTAAACAGTTTGTGTTCTTTATTTAGTTCATTCTATTTTTGACACACTTCCAGTACAAGACATTTTAATTCAGGTCCATCATACATTCATAATTTCATCTGTCCAATCTAAACAAATGTTTCTACACATATTCTGGTGTTTTATAATAATTTATTATTTATATCTCCTGTAATTTATAATTTCCAAAGTAATTTATTTTCAGGCACTTATCATTTTTCTAAATTAAAATTAAGGCATTCAGTTCATCCACCATCTATAATTTCTACAACTCATCATAAAAACTTAAGATTGGTATACAGCTGTGCTAGATTTTGCTAGTCTGAAACCAAAATGTTTATTAGCTAACATTATTTTATTTTTCAAATATTTTATTTGTCTCTGATCATTATTTTAGTATTTAAAAACTATATTTATCTGCTCTTGATTTTGCTCTGTGGTGTTGTTGAGGTGTATAGTGGTAACCTCAAGGTACCTCCATCTGGATTTGTTATTTTCTTGGTTAGTGAGATGTGACTAATTCCTGTTCATGATGTGGGTCTGTATGTTACGGTGACTGAGGCTGAAATTTTTGGCCAAAACTTGTGCAAGTATATTTTCCTCAAACTCATCGCTAGTACTCACTGAATTAATACATTTTGTCTCATTGGTATAGTAAATTGCAATTCCTCCCTTTTGATTAGATCTGCAGTTATGTATGGCTGTATACTCTGGTAAGTTATGCAAGTCTATTGTGAATCATCAGAATTACCAGAAGGAAAGGAGATTTAGGCTGGAAATCCATTGAGCCTATTTTGAACAAAATCCAGTGGTTAGTTTGGAGTGTAGGGGTAGTGTGCCAAGCAAAAAAAAATGCACAGCATACCACAAAAATCTTGTGATTAATTAAAGCTATCTGGAGATACTTTTCAGCAAAAACTAGAATTGAACCATGTAGATTTCAGCTTTTGATTTTATTTAGAAATGGATAATGGTACAGTGACCCCTTGAGTTAAAATATTAATCCATTCCTGAAGATGCATAATTCCTCAAAACTATCATAACACAAACCCAAAAAATGCAGTTTTATGGTAATTTGTTCCAAGACACCAGAAGTGGAACTTTTACTGCACCATGGACTTGCACACTCATGGATATAACTTGCAGGCACTGTATCTCCCTTAATCTCCCATGATGACTTGGCAGTATAAAAGATGGCATAATTAAATCATATTTGTATTGTATCAAATTTTTCATTGCAACTCAAAACTAAATTCCTTCATAAGATTGAAATGTAACTAACATTTATCGTAATTCAAGGGATCACTGTGCAGTATATGAGTTGGGTTTTATTGGAAAGGGAAGGAATCAACAATCTTTATATTTCTTCCTTTATATTTTGAGAGTTTTAATTTCAAGCTATTAAGATGCATTTTTTGAATAGATATTTATTTTAGCTTTCAGGTGTTACTGTGAGACAAGGTTTTGGAATGACTGAAACTACCTTGGCAACCCTTTCCAGTGAATCTCGTGATCCAGGAGCAGTAGGACGTGTGGTTGCTCATTGCGAGGCAAAGGTGGGATCATTAATATATTTTTTAACAGGGTTACTACCTGCACAGGTTTTTAAGCATTTTGCTGGGCCACCCTTCATGTGTAAAACTTGAACAATGAGTAAAAAGTAGTGTAAATAATAACCCTTTCAGGGTCGAGAGGCCCTCTCCTAAACTTGTTCTCAGGGTCGAAAATTTTTTGGATAAAAAAAATTATTTTTTCTTGTGAAATGATAGAGAATCTTTTCCCGATCATAATGACACCAAAAGTATGAAATTTGATGGAAAACTTAGGGAATTATGCTCTCGTGAAGTTAGCGGTCTCAACGATGTTTACGCATTGGCGATTTTGCCCACTTTGAGCCCTATTTTTGGCCAATTTCATTGCACTAGTCAACAAAAATCATAACTATTTCGCTAGAACTCCATTTTTTCTATCGAATGAGTACAAGAAACCACTCATTTACCGAATTCAACTATCCAATAAAGTGGTCAGAAATTGGCAATTTTGCCAGTTTCACACAAATTTCAAAAGATGCCAATTTCCAAATTGGGTCTGGAGTAAACAAGACAGATATTCCTGGCACTAAAATAACATTTCCTCCGTTCATTATTCACATTCCTAGGCCCCTCTTACATTTCTTTTGCTTTCCACTTTGAATTTTTTATATATATCTCACAAAAAATAGTAGACTTACTGTCATGCAGACTACTGCATTAGTGTAGAAATGGTATAAATAATATCAACGCACTTGTGAAAGAATATCAGACTCGCCAGTTGACGCGTATTGGACGTGTGGCATGATTTGTTTACTTTTGAACTTTGGCAAAAATCGAACATTTCTGCTACTTTGAGCTCAATTTCGAGGTACTTTTCATTGTGAAACCAATCAAAGTCATCTCAATTTCTGTAATATGTCTTCCATTCTATAAAATGAGATCAGGAAAATACGAAAATACAGTGCAAAGTCGCTGTTTTAAACCAAAAACAGTCAGTTTTTTTTCTCATTACACACTGTGTGCTGCAGGATTTTTTTTCTATACTGTGCACACTGACCACATAGACCCATTCTTTCATATGTAGGCCTACCAGCTTTCTCTTGCTAGATTTGAAGGCGCTAGAATTTACACGTACTAGTACATCAATAACCCTGGTGCATAAAACGTACTAGTATGCCGGAAACCCTGAATGGGTTAAGATCCTTACTTGAGAATTTTAAATAGAAACATTGAAACATACTTAACTTGTACTTTTTTCTGTTTTATTACAATCAGTTAACCCTTTGAAGGTCTGTCCCGTAGTTCTACAGCTTCGAAGCCTGGGTCCAAGCCGTAGAACTATGGCTTGAGCTCAGCTCACTCATATAAGCTGTAAGCGGTAAATTTGGGCCTAGATATGAGAGAATACATCTATGTGGTAAGTGTGCACCACATAAAACAAATGCTGCAGCACGCATTGCTGCAGCATTTGTTTTATGCGACCATATTTTTGGATTAAAACAGCGACTTTGCATTGTTTTTTCATATGTTTTTTACAGTTATATTCACGATTTCTTGGTCTCATTTGATAGATTGGAAGATATATTACAGAAATTGGTTTTAGTATTGAAAATGGCTTGAAACTGAGCTCAAAGTAGCAGAAATATTAAATTTTTGTCGATGTTCAAGAGTAAACAAATGACGTCACGCATCTAATACGCATCAGCTGGTGGGTCTGATATATGTTCACAAATGTGCTGATATTATTTATACAATTATTACAATATTGCATAACAGTAAATCTTATATTTTTTGGTGTGAATAAAAATTCATTATATGAATAAAAAATCAAAATGTAATTCATTTGTAAATCCTGAAAACATAACTGATAATGAGATGAAATGTTAGTTTAGTGCCAAGAATGCCTGCATTATTTATTTTGGACCCTATTTTGAAATTGAAATATTTTGAACTTTGTGTTAAATTGGCCAAATTACCAATTTCTGATCACTTGATTGGGTAGTTGAAACAGTTGACTGGGCAATTTCTTGTGCTCACTCGATAAAAAAGAAGTAATACTAGCAAAATACCTAAGAATTTAGTAGACTGGAATAATGTAATTGGCCTAAAATGGGAGTCAAAGTTGGCAAAATCACTGATGCGTAAATATCGCTGACGCAGCAAAATTTGTGAGAGCATAATTTCATTAGTTTTCCATCAAATTTCATACTTTTTGCTTTACTGACTTCAGAAAAAAATTCTCTACCATTTCATAAGAAAAAAAAAAATGAAAATTCTTGTACCCTGACTGTCACTCTGAGATTTGGCCTCTGGACCCTCAAAGGGTTAATACAAGCAATTTACATTATTCAAATCAACATGCACATGAGTAATTTTCACTTATTTGTTACACACACATGAACATACAAAGAGGTTCTTTCTTTCAACACACCAGCCGTATCCCACCGAGACGGGGTGGCCCAATAGGAAAAACGAAAGTTTCTCCTTTTACATTTAGTAATATATACAGGAGAAGGGGTTACTAGCCTCTTGCTCCCGGCATTTTAGTCGCCTCTTACGACACGCATAGCTTACGGAGGAAGAATTCTGTTCCACTTCCCCGTGGAGGTAAGAGGAAATAAGCAAGAACAAGAACTAGAAAGAAAATAGAAGAAAACCCAGAGGGGTATGTATATATATATATGCTTGTACATGTATGTGTAGTGTGACCTAAGTGTAAGTAGAAGTAGCAAGACGTACCTGAAACCTTGCATGTTTATGAGACAGAAAAAAGCACTCACTTGGCAGGACGGTAGTACCTCCCTGGGCGGTTGCTGTCTACCAACCTACTACCTATAACAAGGAGGTTATGGTATCAGTATTAAATTCCAAGTGTACAACTAGTTCAAACAGTTCATCCCCATTCCTTATAATATCAAGAATTAAAATTATTAAATGCAGAGTGTTTGTGTTCTGGTTCCTGTTGCCAAGAACTAACCACTGTAGTAACTTTCTAATAATAAGACTATTGCAAAAAACTATTTTATAGTACTTGAGTTTCCTGAAATACTGTGATGCTGGCAAGGGGCTCTTGATCAAAGAAATTGGATTTGTCTTCTCTTTCCTTGGATTGAGCCTGATTGCCTCCCACTTCCCAGGTGCTGTATGACTCCTACAGGTTTAGCACTTCCCCAACTATAAAACTCAGGTTTGAGGAAGGGTTTCTGAGGTGGTATGTGAGGAAGGTAATCCTAAGCACAAAAATATTTATCATGGCATAGGCATTTTTTTTTTTTGTTACATTTAACACATGATTTTATGACACAAATTTAAAATTAATTAGTAAAGAAAGTTCTACAAAATATTGTGAGAATAATTTAGAATGCATTATATGTGCAAAGGTCCTCTTGTGATGGCTTACGAGGCAATAAGGAACTTCAAATTCTTTTTTTTTTTTTTTATGCATTGGCCATATTTCACTGAGGCAGGGTGACCCAAAAAGAAAAAAAATATTTTCATCATCATTCAACATTTTCACCATCACTCATACATAATCACTGTCTTTGCAGAGGCGCTCAGATACGACAATTTAGAAGTCCCTCCAAACTGCCAATATCCCGAACCTCTCCTTTAGAGTACAGGCATTGTACTTCCCATTTCCAGGACTCAAGTCTGGCGAACCGGTTTCTCTTAATCCCTTCACAAAATGTTACCCTGCTCACACTCCAACAGCTTGTCGGGTCCCAAAAACCATTCGTCTCCATTCACTCCTATATAACACGCTCATACACAAATAACCCACACGTAGAAGAGAGGAGCTTACGACGACGTTTCAGTCCGACTTGGACCATTTACAAAGTCACTCTGTAAATGGTCCAAGTTGGACTAAAACATCATCATAAGCTCCTCTCTTCTATGTGCGGGTTATTTGTGTATCATTCCAGTCACGGTATTGTGCCTTTTTTTGTTATTTAACATGTTCATGCTCACGTAAATTCATATCTAATGATATTTTCAGTGAATCTGCATACTTAGACTTCATCATCCAGTTGCTGACTTGCTAGAGGGGTGCTGGCATCATAATTTACAATATTAAAAATCAAACAATCCCAGAGTTGCTGTGACTAGTAGTCCCACTTTTGCAAAGAAGCTTAAGTTTGTTACAACTGTTTTAACTCATCCTTGCACTACAAATGGCAATCATACAGATATGAATGTTTCCTAGTTATTTTCAACCACCTCATTGTTAGACAAGTCACTGATGTTTTATTCATTTGCTTATTTGTGATTAAATATTTTTTTGTAAGGTCATGTAACCTAACCTAACTTTAAAATAATAGAAATTATAAGTTTACAGGAAGCTTCAAGAAATTGATGCTGAGAGCCTCATAAATTTTTTTGTAAAATAAAGACAAGTTAAATCCTCAGTCTGCTATAGTCAGTATTATAAAACAGGCCATGCATGTCATAAGAGGCAACTAAAATTTTCTTCTTTTTTGTGGGTCACCTTGCTTCACTGGGAAATGTCTCATATGTTGAAGAAAAAAATTAACCCTTTGGGGGTTTCAGACGTACTAGTACATCTTACAACCCAGGGTTTTTGACGTACTAGTATGCCTAAATTCTAGCGCCCTCAAATCTACTGAGAGAAAGCTGGTAGGCCTACATATGAAAGAATGGGTCTATGTAGTCAGTGTGCAGAGTATAAAAAAAATCCTGCAGTAAACAGTGCGTAATGAGAAAAAAAAAAACTGACCATGTTTTTGGATTAAAACAGCGACTTTGCACTGTATTTTCATATGGTATTTATTGTTGTATTCTAGTTTTCTAGGTCTCATTTTATAGAATGGAAGACATATTACAGAAACTGAGATGATTTTGACTAGTTTTACAATGAAAAGTACCTTGAAGGTGAGCTCAAAGTAGCAGAAATGTTTGATTTTTACCAAAGTTCAAAAGTAAACAAATCATGCCAAGCGTCCAATACACATCAACTGGTGAGTCTAATATTCTTTCACAAGTGCGCTGATATTATTTATACCATTTCTACACTAATGCAGTAGTCTGCATAACAGTAAATCTTATTTTTTTTGTAAGAATAAAACAAAGTGGAAAGCCAAAGAAATATAAGAGAGGCCTGGGGATGTGACTAACGAACAGAGAACTTGTTATTTTAGTGCCAGGAATGTCTTTCTTGTTTATTCTGGACCCTATTCGGAAATTGGCATCTTTTGAAATTTGTGTGAAATTGGCAAAATTGCTAAATTCTGACCACTTTATTGGATAGTTGAAATCAGTAAATGGGTGGTTTCTTGTACTCATTCGATAAAAAAAATGGAGTTCTAGCGAAATAGTTATGATTTTTGTCGACTAGTGTACTGGAATTGGCCAAAAATAGGGCTCAAAGTGGGCAAAATCGCCGATGAGTAAACATCGTCGAGACCGCTAACTTCACGAGAGCATAACTCCGTAAGTTTTACATCAAATTTCATACTTTTGGTGTCATTATGATCAGGAAAATATTCTCTATATTTTCATAAGAAAAATAATTTTTTTTTTTTAATTTGACCGACCTGAGAAGAAGTCTCTGAGAGGACCTGTCGACCCTCAAAGGGTTAAGCATGTCATTTAGTATTGTAATTACCCAAAATTGTTTATTACAGTCTCCTAATCTGTTGGATAGAATTTTATAATTTTGTACAATACAGTATTAACAAAAAATGCTTAACCTGTGTGAGTCTCTAACCTTGACTGTACAGTATAGTACCTTCTTTTGATAAAAGTTTTCCATGAATACTACACCTGCCTTTTTTTTTTTCGTTGCTAGAGGTACTGTAATGGTCTGATAATTTATGACATTGACTCAATATGTTTACTATGCTTCAGTTTTATAGCTGATTGATTTTTCCTCCCAAGATTGTAGATATGGAATCAGGGGATTCTCTTGGTCCAGGTGAAAATGGAGAGCTTTGCTTCAGAGGTCCAGTTATAACAAAGGTATAAACAGTATTTTATTTTCTCATGTGTATTATTGTGTTCATTGTTGTCACATTTTGTGAAAATTCTTTAGCATCTCAATATTATGTACTTTTGTATGCAGTGCTTTTTACCTTTCACTATATTCTGTTAATCATTGATAATTATTGATATACTAAGAGGATTTTATGTTTGCAATATCATTTTCAGAAAATTTGTGAGATTGACATTTATATCACTTAATAGCATCTATAAAGATACTGTTAACAGTGATTTCAGACACAAATTGTAAATACTGTTTTAATACTTTGGTGTAATACTGTAATTAATTCCTTAACTAAATCTAACTTGACTATTTCTCTTAGGGATACTTCAATAATGAAGAAGCAACAGAGGAACTGATAGACTCAGATGGCTGGCTACGCACTGGTGACATTGCTTATTACAATGAAAAAGGCATCTTTTATATTGTGGACCGCATCAAGGAACTTATTAAGTACAAAGGATTTCAGGTGTGTGTATATACACAGTATACTTTAATTGTAATTTCAAGAAAATATCTTATTTTAATGTCTTTTATTGATTTGGCATTTCCCCACAATTTGTTTAGTCATTATTTTTATTGTTTTAGTGGTAGTCTCTGGCTGATCATTTCCTTTTATTTACTTTTTGAAATATATATTTCATTGCATTTAGTTTGTAGTGTAGTGATTTTGATACATAAATGAAATACGTATTTAGTCATTTATTTACCCGGATATAATAAATAATTGTTTAAATAATGGTAATGTGTGTGGAGTAAATTGATTATTTATGCATTGTGTATGAATTAAATTAATGATTATTTATGTATTGTGTGTGAATTAATTGATTATTTATGTATTGCTTGTGAATTAAATTGATTAGTTATGCCTTGGGTTCCAATCATACATTATTAGACTGATCAATTATAATTCCATAATTGTATTTTACATCCTTGTCTATAGAAGGAAAAATTTAATTTTTTTAAAATGTTCATTTAGTGATATTGAATCAGGTATTTCTTATTAAGTCACACCTCATTAATCTGGGACTGTCTGTACCAGAAGCTTTTCAGAGGGAAAAAAAAAAAAGGATTTTCCAGTTATGACAAGGAGTGACAGAGGTACATCTGAGCACAGTTCAGACAGTAATCTGATATACACATTTCTTACATTTTATTTTTTCCAACAAACCGGCCGTATCCCGCCAAGGCAGGGTGGCCCAAAAAGAAAAACGAAAGTTTCTCTTTTTGACTTTAGTAATTTATACGGGAGAAGGGGTTACTAGCCCCTTGCTCCTGGCAGTTTAGCTGCCTCTTACAACACGCATGGCTTACGGAGGAAGAGTTCTGATCCACTTCCCCATGTAGACATTTCTTACATAACTTTATAAAATTTCTAAACTATAAAATACTCTGTTTCCACTAGAACTGTAGAATAACATTTCTGACCACCGATAACTGCATAATTACAGAGTAATACATATTTTTTTTTTCAAAACACTGGCCATCTCCCACTGAGGCAGGGTAACCCCAAAAAAGGAGCACCATCATCATTTACACATGATCACTGTCTTTAGTTAATAATTGCCTTATGAACTAGTGGACCAGTACAAAAGGAACAACCCAACAAGGTGTTCGCTAATATACTCTTGCTTACTCTTGTCTGTGAATCCTTTTCCCATTTCAGTATAAAAGAACTTCATATTTTCGTTAAGCCACAGTCTTGAAGCTATTTTATTCCTTATAAGGTGGTTGCACATTAAAGCTCATTCACCTTCTGTGATCTCAGAAGTTTTTTCACATGTAATATGTCTGTACAACTTTATTTGTGATGTTTAATATGTGGAATTGAGTAAGGAAATGGCCTCTTCCTATATCACTCACTTGTTACAGAAACCTTGGGTCAAACAACCCTGGACTACTAACACATTACTTGTATCTTATTTATCACTGTTGCCAGCATGCAGGACTAAACTTTTCTGAGTAAATATTTCTGCTTAAATATTGTGAAATTTACAAAAAAAGTTGTTAAGGCATTCTCCATGTTTATTTATCCTTGATTTTAAATGAATGTTCAGTTAAAATTGTTGGAGGATTTCATATTAAGAGACAGGTAGACTCAATTACATCCTTCTCAACTAAAGTTTCCAGTTATGTGGGCTCCGGAAAAATGAGGTGCGACTGTATGATCAGTAATATTCTCAAAAATTGTATCACACTGTATAATGATGAAAACCACTTGAGACTTCGTGCTTGTTTTCTAAAAAAAAAAAAATAGTTAATTAGTCCATTTTAGTCATTAACAGAAGCAGTGGAGTGGGAGCCGTGAAAGGACAGTCACAAGGAAGGTATCTTTTACTTATTTCTCCATTTCTCTTCTCAACAGATTAGCCTTTTTTAACCATTTTAGTTCTTGCAGCGATCCTTAGTAATTTTGTAGTCTTGTAATTAACAATTGTAACACTTTTTCCATAAAGTTTAGAGTCTGAATGTTAAACACCCATAGACTACAGTGTATGTGGTTGTTTGGTGCTTGCTGCTCACTCATTTCTGCCTTTCTGTTTATTCTTATTCACAAATTTAATTTTCCTTATTTTTGCAGCTTTTAAACTTGTGCTCAAGTTAATTACATCCCAGCTTCCTGTATGTTCATCTGTAACAAGCAGCATACTCATATACACTCCTCATAATATTGCAGGCCCAATAAATATTTGTAGTGAAAATTATAATTATACTTTGGTATTAATTAATAGTGAATCTTAAAGAAAATCTCTGCCAAGATGTAAAAAAGGTAAAGGGCTTTTAAGTGAATAAAAGATGCATATTCGTATAATACATCATACACTTATGGAAAGAAAGTAAAGACAACATTTCTGTCCATCCTGGACCATTGTCAAGCTACCTTTGAACTAGAAAAAACAAAGACCAGAAGATAGGTCAGGAAGAGGGATGCATGTGAGGAATAGATTCATAAAAAATATTTTTTAAAAAGACATTACCAATACTAATTTCACACTGCAGATATTCTGCCCCAAATCCTAAATTAACACATTGAGTAGCATGTGTCATATTATTTTGACCCAAACCAAAATTTTTGAGTAAATTCTCAGGATCACTGTAATTATAAAACAATGAAATTTTGTTTCATGTAAACTAAAAACAATTCTTACTATAACATATTTTCCCTTCAGATTAAAGTTTGGAACTACATCTCTGTAATATATCACTAATCTACTTAGTATTGACATTCATAAGAAATCTTGGTTAGTTTTCAGTCTAGGGTGTGTGTGCCAAGCTTAAAAAAAAAAAAATTGGCCACTACCAGGAAACCCATGGATAATCAGATTTAAGGCATTCATTGCATAATCAAATCCTACAAATAAGGAAGTTCGCAAATTTGTTGGGACATTTGTCCTTTATTATATCATTACAGTGCAAAATAACTTAAGAGAGGTAAGCTCTATTCTGGGAAATTCACAGAATTTTAGGTGATAATGCATTCCCAGCTAATTTCAGGAAGTAGAAAATTGTAGCTTAATACCATCATCAAGTACAGTAGAGTATTTTTCTCTATTATGCAAGTTTTTATACTCGCCAGTAAATTCTGACTTATTAAGGAAGAAGGCATCTTTTCATTTAAAACTTCAATGAATAAAATTTTTTTCTGGAGCAGATATAGTGTGATTTCATAAATGCAAATGATAGAACACTTACAGTACAGTACTATATTTGCATGACTAGAATGTAAGCCTGTGGACTTATGATAAGCCTTTGTTTTGACCAGGATTGCCTGCGGCAAGCACCGCATCAGTAGTGGCACTCCTTATCACATTTCTTCACCATGCCTAAACATGTAGCTTTATATTTTGCTGCTTCTTTTTGAGCTTAAAAAAAAAAAGTTTCAAATTTGAAAATATTGTAGCATGTTTTCAGGGGGTGAGAATTTGCTAGTTATGCATTTCCCTAGATTCATGTTTTGAGTATAAGCATGAGTATGAGTCCCTGTCAGGGACACAAAGCCTCTTCATTGGTTCGTCAAGATGTCTCTAGATATCCACCCAGTCACCCATGGAGTTACTATCCAGGCCCAACAGTCCTTAATAATAATAATAATTAATAATAATAATATTTTATTTCAACATGATACAAGTTTGTACAAAGGATATAATAGTTGGGTGTACATACCAAAAGCCCCTTTATATGTGAAGCATTTTGGGCAGACTTAAAACTAACTTAAGAGTAATAAGGCAATAACAGTACGTGTGGTCATTAGGTGAGTTACAGTGAATACAAGAGAACTGAATATTCTATTAGGTTGTGCTATATGGCTTTAGTAAGTTTTGTAGAGAAGAATTACAGTTTTGTTTATTACCCTTGGGTGGACACAATGGAGAGATTAACATTTGAGATGAATACAGATATTAAAAGTAAGTATATATTGATTATAAAGTTTAACCTATGTTCATGATACTGAGCAAATGCATGTACATATAGTTTTTACGTATGTATTTAAGATGGGCTGGGATAGGTTGAGAGATAAGGTGTTTTTTAAATGTAGTTTTAACAATGCTAGCTAAGCCTATGGTTTTGGAGATTTCTGGCAGAGTTCCAGATTTTGGGCCCTTTTATGTACATTAAGTTTTTGAAAAGATTTAGCCTGACACGGGAAATGTCATAGAGATTTTCGTGCCTAGCGTTATGTCCATACGAGTCCTATTGCAACTGTCAAGAAAGTGCTTCAGGTCAGGATTTATATTAGAATTGATTGTTCTGTAAATGTTGGTTACACAATAGTACGAGTGAATGTTTGTAGAGTGAGTAGGTTTAGGTCTTTGTAGAGTGGGGTTGTGTGTTGTATAGAAGTGGATGGTGTGATCATTTGCACTGCAGGTTTTCATTGAGTTATTATTGGTTTTAGGTGATTTGTCATTGTGGAGCCCCAGGCACAAACAGCATAGGTGAAGTAGGGGTAGATCAGTGAAAAGTATAGTGTAAGTAGTGCTGTTTGTGGTACATAGTAACATATCTTTGAGAGGATGGCAACTGTTTTAGAGACTTGTTTTTGTTATGTGTTGGATATGGGTATTGAATTTCAGGTTGCTGTTAAGGTGCAGACCCAGGAATTTTCCCTTATGTTTAGCAATAATGGTGTTGTTAAGCATAATGTTTAGTTGGACCTCACTTGCTCTACTGTCAAACATAATGTAAAAGAGGTCTGTATTAACTGTAAGTTTATTGACAGTCATCCAGATTGCTATTTTTGCGAGCTCTTCGTTAAGAATAGTGTTGAGTGGAGGCTGAATTTGGGTGGGAGATGACTAAAGTCGTGTCGTCAGCAAAGAGAACAGGCTTAAGTTGTTGTGATACGCTTGGAAGATCGTTGATATATAAAAGGAAAAGGAGGGGGCCAAGAATGCTTCCCTGTGGTACACCAGTGTCCAGGGGTCTTGTTGAGGAGGTTGCATCTTTGACAGAGATGTATTGTTTTCT